TAACAGCCGAGCACCACACGTGCTGTTTATGGTCACCTGCTTATTGTCACCTGAGTGCTCCTAGGGAGCAGGGACCCAGGACTGACTTCTCTTATCCCAGCCCCCAGTGACAGGTTGGCAGGGGGCAGAGACCAGTGGGTACTCTTGGAACTGAACTGTGTATCCTCTAGGCTTGAGACCCTCTCTCTCCTCTCCCCCCAACCTGCCAAGGTCTGAGAGGCAGGCAAGGATATGTGAAGCCCTAGGAAATGGCCCATTGTCCCATGACGTTTGACTCTCTTTTGGGACAGGGCTCTGTAATGACTAGATTTCTCCTCAGGCTCTCTTGGAAGATTTTTTTAATTTTTACATTTTAAAATAATAAAAATAATACATATTCATTGGAAATAATTTGGAAAAATCAAGAAATGACAAAGAGCAAGATTAAAAGATTGAAAAAGAGCAAAATTAAAAGTTAAAACCCCTTCTACCCAGAGAAAGTCACTGGTAACAGGATACAAATCCTTCTAGTCTTTTTTCTATAAATACAGATATGCGTCTTTTGTTTGATAAATAAGTATCACACTGTAATAGTATTTTGTTGCCTTTTGGTTGGGGCGGGGGGAAGGTGAGCATTTTCTATATCATGAAATATTTTTTAAAGCAATTTTTAAAAGCTTTTTTCCTTATTACCAAAATTCTTGTTCAATGCAGAGGACTTGGTGGGTGGGGGAAGCACTAAGCAAAAGCTATCCATTATCTTTTTACTTTCTAGAAAGAACCTCTGTTAACATTTCAGTGTATGCCCTTCTGGTATGTCCTTTTTGACTTTAATTGGAATTGCATTAAATTTATAAATTAATTTGAGGAGAACTGACATCTTTACAATATTGAGCCTTCCCTTCCAGGAGAAAGTTATGTCTCTCCATTTATTCAAGTCTTCTTTTATGTCCCCCAGTAAAGTTTTGTAGTTTTCTTGATATAGGAATTGCACATTTATTGTAAAGTATTTTATTTTTTTGTTGTTGCTTTTGTGAATAGGGTCTCTTTTCTCCCTTGAAATTCCTCACTGTTTATTGCTGGTTTATAGGACGGCGTACATTTTTTTCTATATACGTTTTACATGCTGGCCATTTGATGAGCTTTCTCCTTACTTTCTACTAGGTTTTCATCTGATTCTCTCGAGTTTTTAAGAGAATGGTAGTAAGCATCTGCAGATAATATTGTGTCTCTTTTCTGATTGCACTACCATGATTTGTTATTTTTGTCTTATTTATACTGTTATTTTAAAGACTATTTTATTGTGGAGAGTGTCTGTCATATACGCTTAAGGAGAATGGTATAGTGAATCCCCATGTACTCCCCACTTGGCCCCAGCAACCAGCAACCCATGACCTTTCCTGTCCTATGAGCACTCCCTTCACATCCTCCCCTCTCAGACTAATTTGAAGCAAATCCCGGACATCATATCACGCCATCCTATACCCTGACTGTGAATGCCTGCAACTTGTTCTGCCATATGGGTGGGTTTTAATATATTGAGTAATCTTCTGCTTTTGAACATCAAGTTGTTTCTACTTTTTTTCAATATTATGTCAAGAATATCCTCATACATAAATGTTTATGTATTTCTAACTTTTTCTAAATTTATACTTGTAGAAGTGGAATTACTAGATCATATGTTATTTTGATCACTTACTTTCCTTTAAACACATATACACAATCACACGATGGCTTTTCTGATTAGAAATAGAACACATGTTTGCTGCAGAACTTTTTGGAAACAGAAAAACACAAAGAAGGAAATTAAAGTCACCCATAAACCTCCTCCTCAGAGGGAACCCCCCCTTAACATCTGGGGATGCATTCTTCTTGTCTTGTTTTATGCATGTGCTCAACGTGTTTTTGCACCCCCACACAGACTCACGTGCGTGCACACTACATGTTACAAACTGTAAGCCTGCTTGAGAACCAGCACCAGGGTGGGGAGAGCAGCAGATTTATTTGTTCACTTTTTAAAACATTCACTTCTTTTTTTTTTAATTTTCAAAACAATTGAACAACCCAGATACCTATCAACTGGTGGTGAATGAGTAAATAAAACACAGTACATCCATAGAAAGTATTACTATTTGACAATAAAAAGAAATAAAGTACTGATACATATCACAACACGGATGAACCTCAGAAACATTATGCTCAGTGAAAAGAGCCAGTGCAGAAGACCACATATTGCCTGATTCCATTTATATGAAAAGCCCAAAAAAGCCAAATCCCCAGAGTCAGAAAGTAAATTAGTGATTGCTTGAGGCTGGGGGTGAAAACAATGACTAACTGTAAGTGGGCCCCAGAGATCTCACTGGAGTGATGGAAATGTCCAGAAGTTGGGTTGTGGTGGTGGTCACACAATTTAGTAAATTCACTGAAAATCATTGAACACTAAAACAGGGTAAATCTGATGAAATTTCTTAATGTAAATAATACCTCAATGAAGTTTATTTTGTAAAAGAATAAAGTTTACTTGGGAAATAAGAAAGCAGAAGGAACAAAATGAGAAATCTATTACATAGGACTATTCACTTGTTTTGTTTGGAAATGTTTCCTGTTCTTAACGTCAGTGATGTAAATTCCTCCTCCTCTTCCTTCTATTCTTCCTTTTCTAACGTGGGGTCACACTGCGTCTCCTGTGTTATAACTTTCTTTTTTTGCTTAAAATGTATCATAGATATTTCCCAAATCATTACATTTTGCTCTCATGTGGAAATGTAGAGCAAATGGCCGTTCACTTACTGTTTCTCTGGTGTTGAACATCTCTAGATCCACCTCCTCATACATGATCTGTGTGCCCGTCATTGAAGTCAGTTCCTAGAAACCGAGGTATTGAGTCAAAGATGTGAGCATTTTTAAGGCTTTCTGATACATTTCTAATGACCTTCTAGGAAGGTGGGTGTACCAGTTCCCACTTCCACCAACAGTAAAACAAATGTGTGTTTCCAAACACCCTCAGCAAAGCTGGGTGTTATAATTTCTTTTATATGTCTGCCAATAACTCAGGCAAAAAGTGGTATTTTATTGCTATTTTAAATTGAGTTTATTTGATTATCGCAGAGGATGCACATTTCTTCATATGTTAATAGCTCCTTTGTATTATTTTTTTTTCTTTTGTGAAATGCCCATGCTTGCCCTTTGCACATTTTTCTATTGGCGTATTTGTCTTTTTAAGAGTTTTAAGTGCTTTTTATAAGATAAGAACATCAAGCTTTACACTGGCTTATATGTTACGGATATTGTTTCCAAGTTTGTTGTTTGCATTTTAATTTTGTTTATGGTAGTTTCGACATCTACACATTTTATGTTATTTCTGTGGAATTGCCAATTTTTCTCCTATGGTTTCTGACTTTATTGGAATGCCTAGGAAGACCTCAATATTATACAATATTCACAGAGATTGTCTTTTAAAGTACTTTTATAGTATTCCTCCCCTCCTTCCTTCCCTTACTTTCTTGCTATTTAATCTTTACTCCATCTGGAATTCATTTTGATATATGGCTTAAGATTGGAATCTTACTTAAATTTCTCCCAAATAATTGAACAATTGTCTGAGCACAATTAATGAATAATTCATGTTCTACCTACTGATTGGGAATAGCCACCTTTATCATGTCTTAAATACTTATCTCTACTTGAATCTCTTTCTGGGGGCTTTTATCTTCTTCCATTGATCTATCTGTGTTTCCATATGCCATTAGGACATTGTTTTAATTATTTTGACTTTATGATAGATTTTAAATCTGGCAGTGGAAGTCACCTCTCATCTCTTTTTAAGCTGTCATTTTTTATTTAGTCTTCTAGGTGTATTTTAGAGTCATTTTCTCAAGTAAAAAAAAAATACGTATATTCTTCTTTGATTCAGATTGGAATTGAATTTAACTGCAAAAGTAATCTGGAGAAAAACTGACACCTTGACCCTTGACCCTAACTACCCAGGAACATGATGTGCCACCTCATTTAAATCTATTTTTATGTCTCTCACTTAAGGTGTTTTTGTTATTTTTAATATTAGAACTGGGTTATGATTACTTTTCTTAATATTTTGTTTATATTGTAAAGGATATCCTTTTGCCATATACAACATTGTAAACTGACTTTACTTCAATTTAAAAAAAAGATAAATATTATAAAAAAAATTTTTTTACTGGTCATTGGTGATTTAAAGAAACACTTAATTTGTGTTCATTAAACTTGACTCTCCTAATAGTTCTTACTAGTTTTCATGTTTAGGGATTATTTCAAGAGTTTTTAGGAAAGCACTTATATCATTTGTAAATAAGAATTTTTTCTTTCCAAGAGGTATGCCTTTAAATTCATTTTCCTTCTCATCTCATTGGTTAATGATGTGGTGTGATTCCTTACACTCCTTTTTTTTTCCCCCCATTAATGAGAATGCCTCTAGTGTTTCACATTAGTTGATATTAAAGGCCAATTTGAGGTGAAGATGCTTCAAGGAAGTGTTTTTTCTGGAGCTAGTTTATTAAGCATTCTTAACAGCAATAGGTATTGAATTTTATCAAATGCCTTTCTGTATTTTGTGAGTTGATCATATTTTTTTCCCTTTGAACTATTGATGTGACAGAATGATCTTCATAGATTTCTTTATATTGAACCACCCTCACATTCCTGGAATACAACTCTGTGGTCATGGTGTGTTATCCTTGTAATATTCTATTAGATTCTACTTGCCAGCACTCAATAGGGAATTTTCATAGCAATATTCACAAGTTGGTCATTTTATTTGGCTCTATGTGTCAGTCCGTTATCAGGAATTTGCTAGCTGAGTGAAATGAACTGGGAGGATTTTCGTATTTTTTATGCCCCAGCACAACTTCTACATGTGGGAATTCCCTAGCATACTATTAAATATCTGGGGAAAGATTCTTGCCCTTAAAACCTTCTGAGCCAAGCAGCTTTCTTAGCAGCCCTCCTCCTTCCCCAGCACACACAATTTTACCCATCTCTCACAGGAGGAATCTTTGAGTATGCAGACGGCCCCAACGCCCAGGTCATGAACGCTGAGGAGCATGCCTTTCGATTTTCTGCCAACATCATCAACAGAAACAGGACTCTGCTGCCCAACACAACCTTGACCTACGACATCCAGAGGATTCACTTCCATGACAGCTTTGAGGCCACCAAGAAAGGTGAGTGTGCTGCCCCTACCGCTGCCATCCTGGCCTGGGGTGGGTGGGGGGGGGTGGTCGGGGGTTGCTGTCCAAGGTCCTGAAAACGGGCCAAGGCTCTGGGTGGATTTGAGGCTTAGAGCCTTTTCTGCTGGTTTCAGGACCAGCCTCAGGCCCAGTTCATCTTAGGCTGTGTCATCTCCCAGGATCGGTGGGTTGTCCCTCAGGAGTTCCCAGAGGCCAAGAGGGAATGAGGGGCCAGGGGAACAGGGTGGGTCTGAGGGGTGGGGGCCTGATATGGGTAAGGAGGCTAGCCTTGGTCTCCAAAGCCTCTGAATCAAAGCCAGCATTTTCAAACTTATTTTTTCTTTCATTGAAATCCTACACAGTATATCAGTATTTGGAAAATATATATAAAACAGATAATGTATGAGCTCAAATACGCAACATTTACTTGCCATGAAAAGACTTACTGAAAACAAAAACAGCTGTTTCTGTGGCTATGACAGTTTGATCCCAGAGGCTATGGATGACACTTGAAGTCTGACATTGGTTTTAGCTTTCAGTACATCTCCATATTTTTGTTTAGTCTGCATAATAACCAGAAAACCATAGTTCACAAAAATAATTGTAGTAAACCTAGTTTTCCTCACACCTGAATTTAAAAAAATCAAATATTGAGCTGCGTTCTTTCACGTTAGTGGTACATTTACAGTAAACTCCAGTGACTGCATAGACTGAACTTTATTCCAAGATCTTCAAGGAAAAAGCAAGGTAACTTGTCAATACCTCAATGAGCTAGCAGTATCCAATGTGGCATATGGCACATTTGAGTATACAAGTATGCTCTTTTGTCCCTGTCTTTAAAAATGCAGTTAATATATATAGTTTCCTAGAATTTAATGTAAAGGCTTAGATAACTCTGGAAATAACTTCCATAGAACCCTCGAGTTCCATGCAACACCATTAAAAAAAATCTTGGACCTAAGAAATCTCATTCCTAGGGAAGTCTAGGTCATCCTTCTTATAATATCCTGTCATAGCACATTGCTTTTCTTCTTCAAGGCCCTTGTCACAATTTGTAGTTAAATAATTGTATGTATTTAATGTCTTTCCCCTTATTTCCAACACCTCTGAAAGGAAGTCTCTCTCCTGTTAACTGATACAGCCCTGGCACCTACAAGACTGGCATATAGTAAATGCTCAGTGAAATGATCATTGAATGAATCAATGAATGAGTAGTGTGAGAATGGGGCACGGAAAGCTGAGCATCATTGCCCAGGATTTCTGTCAGCTGAGCATTATCCATGCATCTTGGGAAGCCCATCCACAAGCTCCCCTTGGTCTTTCTAAGGGGTTCTCAGGAGTTAATCAAGGTCTCCTGGGCTCTCAGGTGCAGACCTGCCAAGGTGCTGCCTGCTGCCGGCTCTGTTTTCCAAAGTCCCATTGTGGGTAAACATCTCAGCACAGAAAGGCAGCATAGCATGGACTTGGAGCCAGACTGCCTGGACTTGCACCCTGTCCATTCTGATATTAGTTGTGTGACCTTCCACAATATGCCCCATGCCTCAGTTTTTTTCATCTACGAAATGGGCACACCTCTGAAGTGCTTGGCACTTCAGTGTCTGGCATATATGAGGTACCATTGGATTTTGTTCTTATCACATTGGCTGCCTTGCTCTCCACACATTGAGCCATCAGGTCAAGGGCCTCACACCTACAGGTGCTTCTCCACTGCTGGTCCCTGACTCACCCACCTTGCTTCTCCGCACCTTGTGCGCTGAAGGTTGGTGGAGGTTGGCTAGGGCCACGACATTGAACACTGTTGCCACTGACATTTTTGAGGCCACTGCCTCAGTGTCAACCAGCACACAGACTAGAGGCACCCCATCCTATTAGCCTTAAAGAGTGGTCCTTTGTCATCACTTCATCCCTCCTCTTCCTGTGCTGGCATGCACTCTTCACTGCCCACATCCTGCTAGCTCTCTCCCAGCATGCCCTGCGGCCAACACCGTGCAGTCAGGTCTCCACCTCCCTGCTGAGAGTCCATGCTGGCACCCTCTGCCCGGCCTTGTCCAGCTAGAAAATGACTGAACTCACTTAAAACTGCTCAGTAAAAAGGTAAAAAGACACAGAACAAATGCCTGGGGACAGAACACAGAGGCCCACGTGGGACACAACCACCCCAAAGGGCTGGGCTGTCTTCTGCCCATTTTTTCTAAAACTCTCTAAAAGAATATGATGACTCTCTAGTGGTGCACCTGCCATTCAGCACAGGGACCTTCCCCGGCAGTGAGCCCGGGGCAGAGCTTCAGAGCCTTCCGAGGTACTTCCTCCAGCAGGAACTCACAGTCTCACACTATGTGGAATTACCTGGTGGCAGGTGAGTAGACCCGAGACAGAAACACTCAGTACTGAAAGTCCAGCCAGATTGGTTGAAGTGACCAAAGCTACAGCCCCTACCCACCCTACAGCAGGTCACACGACCTGTTTATTTGTAGTCCTGTCTAGTCTAGCCCCAACATGACCCTCCAGCCACATCTGTGCCGCTCGCTTTCTCAGCCCCTGGATTCTAGCCATCTCTGCCGTACGCAGGGGGCCATGCTTCTTCTGACCTCAAGGCTTTACTCGTGCTCTTCTCTCTGCTTATAATTCCTTTCCCCATCCCGCGCTGCCCTGCCCTTTGTCTAAATAACTCCTCCTTCTCCTCACTTCTGATCTTCAGGGGGAGCCCTCCCCACGCCCCCAGAGAAGGTTAGCTCTCCCTCCTTCCATCTTATAAACACTCTGGACTTTCTTTTCTCAACCCTGACCCCATGTGTGTGTGGGTGTGTAATTATTGTCTATCTCTTCGGCAAGATTGCCCTCCCTTTGTCTCTTCATTGCTGTACTAGAGTCATGGTTCTGACCACTAGTGCGTACACTCATTTGCCTGTTTTTGAACTTTGCATAAATAGAATACCCTGTGCTTTTTTGAGTCTTGCTTCTTTCACCCTACAATAGATCTGTGAGATTCATCTCTGTTGTTGGATATAGCAGTGGTCTCTTGTTCTTCATTGTTGTATAGTGTTCCATTATATGAATCTACCACAGTTTTTAAAAATCAAATTTACTGTCGGACATTTGATTGTTTCCATCTGAGGCCACAGAATAGTACTGCTATGAACATTCTTAGAGATTTTTTTGGTGCACACACGTGCACATTTTTTGTTGGATACATACCTAGGAGTGGAAGTGCGAGGTCATTGGATGCACATATGTCCAGCCTAACGGTTTTCCAAAGTTGCTGTACCAACTGGCACGCCCTCCAGTCATGCATGACAGTTATAGTTGGCCCAGGTCTTTGCTGACTCTGGTAAAGTCAGTTTTGTTTTTGTTGGTTTATGTGGTGGATGTCTCATAGCGGTTCTGTCTTGCATTTCCCTGCTGGCCAGAGGTATTGAGCAGCTTTTCATATGCTAATAGACCATTTAGAGCTTCTCCTTCCTGGAGTGCCTTTTGGAGCCTTTCAACCACTTTCGAAAATTGAGTTACTTGTCTTTTCTCATTGACTTGCAGGAATCTTTTATATATTCTGGATATGCATCCTTTGTTGGATCTACGTATTGCATGCATCTGTTGCAGACGAGCTGGCCTTTTTACTCTCTAAGTAGTATATTTTGAGGAGCAAAGTTTTTAATTTAAAGGAGTCTAATTTATCAATACTTTCCATTATGGCTAATGCCTTTTGTGTTCTGTTTTGTCTACCCTAAGGTCATGAAGATATCCGCCTATGTTCTATTCTAGAAACTCTATTGTTTTATCTGTCATAGTTAGCTCTATGATCTATCTCAAATTGATTTTCTGGGCATGGTGGGAGGTAGAGGGTGAGGTGTGTTTTTTCCTCAACAATGCTGGTTGGAGTGAAAACTGATTCAACTTCTCAGGAGAGCTGTTTGTAAGTATCTACTAAAATGAAATGTATGTCTGTAAGGAGGTTCCTAGCCACTTGCTTGATAATAGCCAAACACTGGAAATAAATTAAAGGCCCATCAACAAAAGAATGGCCAGACTAGGGGTACATTTATACAATGGGACTGAATCAGCAATAAAACCAAAACCAACTCTTGCTACGCACGACATCATGGATGAGACTCACAGGTGTGTTATAAGTGAATGAACAGAGATCCTGTCTCAGGGAGGGAGTACCGTGGCTGTTAACTGGAAAGGGGAAGACAGAACCTTCTAAAGTGATGGAAATGTTCTATATTTTATCTAAGTAGTACTTACATGAATGAAGTTATATATAAAAATTCGTAAAAGTCTGTGCTTAAAATTAATGCACTTTACTGTACTATATTATATCTCAATAAAAAAAATTTAAGCAGTTCCACTCTTCCTTAATGTCCTTCTGATAATATACCTAAGATAGACCACTGCTGTGGTTAGAAGCACCACTGTCTGACCCTGGAGGCATTTCTGCTGTTGGATCATGCTCCCTATTGGGCATCCTCTATCCCTCCAGGAAACCCATGTTCTGTGATCTTTATTTTTCCTTTTGATCTTTGGTTTTTAAAAATGTATTCCTCTGGAGCATCATTAGGGTTCTTCCTGGGGTAGGGGGTGAACTTGGACCTAATTCTAATTAACCCAATGATAATTCATTTTCCCTAGGCAAAGGTTCTCATCACAGCTGGACCCAGCCCCCTCGGGCCATATGAGTTGAGGGGATACAGAGGCACAGAGCCTGGTACCGGCTGCCCTGCCAGCTCTGGTTAAATTAGTCCTTCCCTCCACATGAGGCCCAGGAGGCCTTTCCTCATTAACAGGGAATTTCACTTATTGTCTTTATTTTTAAATGTTTTGTGGAAAATTAAAAGATGAGTGACTGCCAGGCAGTGTCTGAGCCAATAGCCCAGAGAGCGTCTGTGTTTTCTTCCAAGCCTGACCGGAGTGGGCCTGGAATCGACCCAGCCCTCCCCAGGCTCCTCTCCCTTCACTTATTCTCTGGGCTGCTCGATTCCTTTTAAGACACAAATTGA